GATATAGAAGTATTCCAAACGCAAGTATAATTTATATATAATTCCTTTTTAAAGTTATTATTAATTTTGAAAGTCTTTCTTAATATAAGAAATATCATTTCACTTTGTTATAGATATGACGATATAATGTTTAATATAATAATGAATGATATGTTTTCATAATATTAGTAAACGATTCTATTTCTTTTTCGATGTAGTAGATAATGAGAGCAACTTTTAATAGATATAAAAAATTTGCATACTGAATTTGAAAATGAATATATTGCAAGTCTGCTAAAAATAATGGCACGTGATTGATAATATAATTATTTGAATTTAATTCATACAGATATATGATATTTAAAACTTAAGAACCTACTTTCGAGGGCAGATTGTGACTCTCAGTTATTTTTGTACTTTTTTGTTACGATCATAAATTTTATTTAAATAAAATCTATAACTATGATTTCATAGTTTTTGTAAAAGTCAAATTTCGGCGATATAATTTTACTTTATATTCTTGTTTCGTATTGAAAGATATATTTCTGTAAATGAAAAATTTGTTTAGATAAATATTATCGACTTAATAAAATTATTACTCTATGGAAGTTTTCTAAATTACATTACGGTTCTTTATCAACATAAAGAAAACGTATTTGATAAATCCAAAATAAGTAACGAGCAAATAAATAGACCACAAATTAGAATTAGAAGATAGATCAGAAATAACAGAAACTGAGGAAGTCACAATTAAAGATACAGCTTATAGAGAGTACAAAAATGCATGTTAGACCTATCAATTTTCGATTGCCTGATTTTATAATATCAAAAGAATACAAAATTGAACTAACATTAAATACAGAAGAGGATATCTTCTATGGAGAGTGTAATATTATTATTCCTAGAACTATATGAAAAATGAGCCTGCATTCAGCAAATTTAGAAATAACTAAATTCATGTTAAGCAAAACTATTGATAAATATAAAAGAGTGTATGTAGGCGATAATATTATCTATTATATTCACGAAATGGTCGCCTTGGATTTCTTTAATGCACTACGTCCTGGTAAATATATTTTGAGAATAACGTATAAGGGTATTATTGCTAATAATATCGGAGGTTTTATCAAGATATCATATGTAAATGCGACAGGAGATAAAAGTGAGTAAGAAAACATACATATTACATGAAAAATATTATGTAAAAATATAGAAAATGAGTCTATTATTTATGTCCTTTAATTAATACAAATTAATACTCACGCGTAATATCTAAAGCAAATTCGTGAAAAACATACTTATTACGTTTTAATTGTTATATAACAAAAATTAAAAAAAGTCTAGTAACTATTTATGTATATGTATATTTTGTAAAAATATGTATTTAGCGTAGTATGTAAACATTCTGCAAAAAGTTGGGAAAATAACAATGTACAAAATAATATTATTTCTCCTTAAAGATGTCCTACTAAATAAATTCTTTATAAATTATTATTATTGTCCGCGTATATAAAATAGAATTTTTAATTCGAATCTCTCAACATTTATTCATGATTTATAGATATATGCGCATATAGTGCAAAATAAGTATATAAAACTGTAAAAAAATAATAGAAAGAAAGCGCATGTCTTGTACTTATAAAATATAAAAGCTGAAAAAAATGTTCTTATTAAAATATACTTGCTCTCTCCTCAGCTATATTAATTTCCAATGTTATTAAAAAAATAAGGAATTATCTCATTTCATGATACACTAATAAAATTAATTTACTATGTTAGATGGCTTCTCGCAACAAGTGACTCAGCGATGACAGGAATGCGACGTCTCTTTCCATGTTGGGACGAACCGGGGCTAAAAGTTAAATTTACCATTGCTGTAAGGTACCCTAAACATATTGCAATGTTTTTTTCAAATATACCTTTTTTTTCTTACACTTTCTACATCAGAACAAACGTTGATGTTTTGCTACAACTCTTGAAATATCTACGTATCGTATAGTAATTTTGCTACTCGATAAGAATGATTATGTTCATATTTCTCTCTCACTACAAAAAAAATTAAAATTACTCTGAAATTATGGAGAAGAGAGTGGATAGTGCAATGAAATGAAATTTTTTGGATTAAGGAAAAATGTCACAAGTATTGTTGAATCTATACGGCCACAACCACAAGGATCTTTATTAGAAAATCAGTACGCGATCACAGATTTGAGAGATGGTAATGTGGACAAATTGCAATTCATACTTTATAGGTAGTATATGCAGCTAAAGAAATTAATTTCTATATTTTTATGATAAAACAATTGTAGAATAGGAAAACGTTGTAAATATTATTATAATATATAGGTAATGTTATTAATACGAAGATGTATTGCGAATATTTGTGAGATGGATATAACGATATCATTGTTTTTAGAGAGGAAGATATTATTTACAATAAAAAGATAGATCCCATTGCGCGCAAAATAAAGTTATCATGTATAGGATGTAAAATTGTAGGTCAATTGTTTGCTATTGCGGTTAGTCCATGATGGTGGTCTTACATGATGGTTGAACGAGGATATTGCTACGTTGTTTGGCGTGTACATAATTAATCAGGTATTTTCTCATGTCTGTGATAATATTTTGACAGAAAACTGACAGTTCTATTTGAGACGACATGAGAAAAGAGAAAATATTCTTCGAATACTTTCAATGATATTTTTAAATTAACTGTAAAAAAATGTTGATGAATACATGTAAAATCGGTTATAAGATTTTGAATTAATTTAATTATGTTGTTAATGTCTATTAGTCTAATAATAATAAAACTGATAATTAAAGTATTATTTATTTCGTGACTATACTTGTAATATCTAGACTGTGCCAGACATTGGATTTGTTCGTAGACTCAACAAGAATTTCTCCGTCTAGATGATTCACAAGTTACGAATCCTCCTAGTTCAGAAGTTAATAGTATCTCTGAAATTAATTCTCTCTTCTCTTTTATCTATTATATAAAAGATAACAGTACTAAATAACTAACATCAAAACAATTAAAACGTGTAAAATTATTGAAGAACTGTTTCAAAAATAAATTTTCACTTCAATTTCCATATTTTCTAATTAATTGAAATAAGTAAAGACATATTCTAAAACAAATATATTCCAAAAGCATCGAAATTTTTAATTAATTGTAGTCTTATCAATATTTCGGAGAACTTCGATAAATTTATTGTAGATATAATTTGTTGCGTGTTTGATCTTATAATGCTCATCTGTTGTAGCACTTTTTATATTGCGTACGCTTACATTATACACTGGATGATGAAATTTTTTCAGAAAGGGATTAACGTGTATATAAAAAGAGAATAAGTATATTTCATGTCTTGTATCTCTTTACTTTTTTCCTTTTTGTCAAATGAATAATAATATTACGTTTTCATTTTCGTTACATGATAAGGTTATATAAATTATTAGTAAATATTATTAGTAAATAAGAATTTATTATATTCTTTGCTATTTTTATGCTATATAAAAACTATATATTACTATATATAAAATTACCTTCTCAAATACTTCCTTACTTCTCGAAATAAGAAAAAATTTAGATGACCCGTGTTAAAATTAAAAGAAAATTTTGTATCCAAAAATTTGCTATTCGGAATCAATGACTTTAATCAGCGATAAAATTTAATGTAATTATTTTTCGAATATGTCATTATATGTATTTTTGTTTGTAGATAATAATGATAAAAATTATTTTCGTTTGTAGATGATAATGATAAAAATTGGAACATTTTTATTATAAAATTATCTATCTATTATTCAATGATCCCAATTAAAATTCAATCGCTGCAGTAGCTATTGAGACTTTAAAATACAACTTATATCAAAGTTTTGCGCAAATAAAATCACGGGCATCTGTTCCACGAGAATTAAACTAAGCGAACGATGCGAATTATGCGTGAATTCTTCCGCCAGTTACAGAAATTGTTTAAATTTGTGCTATATTTCGAGAAAATCATATTTGTCCTCTGATATCGCCTCTATCATAGAATATATATTGTGAATAGAAATAATTATTATACATTTTTGTAAGGACGGGAAACCTGCATGATTTTTGGACTGTAATGCAATCTGTCATGTATCAACATTTATTTGCTTTAATAACGTAAAATAACGTAAAATTTTAAGATTATATAAATAAATTTTGAATTATACAATATTCTATTAACAATATTATTAAAGATTTTGAATTGAAGAACATTTAGATAGTGTCTATAAATTTAAAGTTTAATTTACATCTGATATATATATATATATATATATATATATATATATATATATATATATATATATATATATATATATATATATATATATATATATACATCGATATAGAAGCATTTTATTACCAATAAACAATATTATAATTGACATACAGTTAAATATAAAACATATGGAACATCTATTATATTTTTAATAGCAAAATACATCTAATAAACACAATGTTTATTTTATTCGTACTTTTAATCGACTCATAATAAACATTATTATTAGTTACAATTAATTTAATACTAATATACATAATATACTTGTGTAGAAGAAGACATCTCAAAAGTTCCTACATTTAATTGCATTTTTCTTTATTTTTATATTAATAAATTTTTAAGAGAAATATTTCAATATACATTTTTTATTGTTTGCTTAATTTGTATTATTAAAATCAATTTTAATACATATTTAAATACATAACTGCAAAAAATAATTGTGATCTGAGTTTAGTTTTAAATAATGATATGTTATATCTCCCACTACTTACCATATTATGATGTCCTTTTACATTGATATTTGTTGGCACGGTCATTACTTTGTAACGAACTGTCGAAGCAGAGAGATCGTGATTTAGAGAATACATTTTCTATCACTTATAACGGTAAATACAATTTGAACAAATTATTATAGACTATTTTAAATATCTATGATCCTACACAATTTTAATACATAAATTGAATCACTAAAGCAATATCCATATATATTGTATTATATAAATATAATTTTTCTAAAGACGTAGATGTATTTCAAAACACAAGTATAGTTTACATGTAATTTTTCTTTTAAAGTTATTATTAATGTTAAAAGTCTTTCTTAAAAGAAAGCATCATTTCATTTCGTTGTAGATGTGGCGATATAATGTTTAATATAATAATGAAATGATATGTTCTTATAATACTAATAAATGATTCTATTTCTTTCTCGATGTAGTAGATAATGAAAGGAACTTTTAATCGATATCAAAAATTTGCGTACTGAATTTGAGCATTAATATGTTGCAATTCCATTAAAAATAACGGCACGTGGTTGATAATATAATTACTTGAATTTAATTCATACAGATATATGATATTTAAAACTTAAGAACCTACTTTCAAGGACAGGCTGACTCTTTTAATTATTGTGACTCTTTTAATTATTTTTGTACTTTTTTGTTATATTATATGATCATAAATTTATCAATAAAAAAACGATAACTATGGTTTCATAGTTTTTGCAAAAGTCAAATTTTATAATTTTACTTCATATTTCTGTTTCTTATTGAAAAATACATTTCTGTAAATGAAAAATTTGTTTAGATGAATATTATCGAATTAATAAAATTGTTACTATATGGAAGTTTACTAAATTACGTTACGGCTCTTTACCGACATAAAGAAAATGTATTTGACAAATCCAAAATAAGTAACGAGCAAATAAATAGACCACAAACAATCAGAATCAGAAGATCAAAAATAACAGAAACCGCTAAAGAAGTCACAATCAAAGATACAGCTTTCAGAGAGTGTACAAGTGCGCATGATAGACCTGCAGTCGATTTTCGTTTGTCTGATTCTATAATACCACAAGAATACAAAATTGAACTAACATTAAATACAGAAGAGGATATCTTCTATGGAGAATGTAATATTAGCATTATTATTCATAGAACTATACGAAAAATGAGCCTGCATTCAGCGAATTTAGAAATAACTAAATTCATGTTAAGTAAAATTATTGACAAATATAAAAGAGCGTATGTAGGCGGTAATATTATCTGTTATATTCACGAACAGCAAATGGTCGTCTTGGATTTCTTTAATGCACTAAGTCCTGGTAAATATATTTTGAGAATAACGTATAAAGGTGTCATTGCTAATGATATCGGAGGTTTTATCAAGATATCGTATAGAAATGCGGCAGGAGATAAAAAGTGAGTAAGAAAACGTATATATTATATTAAGAATATTATGCAAAAATATAGGAAATAAGTCTATTATTTTCTTATGTCCTTTAATTACTACTACACATTAATGTTCACGCGTAATATCTAAATCACATTTGTGAAAACATACTTATTACGTTTTAATTGTTATATAACAAAAATTAAAAAATGTCTAGTAACTATTGGAAATTAATGATTTATTTAAACAATGACTTATGTTGCATGAAAATCAAAATTCATTAAATATGTATAAAAGTAATGTTATAATATTCACAGTGTTTTGGAAGGGACTTTGATTTTGTTACAAAATATGTACTTAGTGAATGTAATCGTTCTGCAAAAAGCTATGAAAATAACAATGTATAAAATGATATTTTTCCTTTCTTAAAGATGTTTTACTAAATAAATTCTTTATAAGTATTATCCGCGTATATAAAATAGAATTTTTAATTCGAATCTCTCAACATTCATTCATGATCTACAGATAAATGTGCATAATAAAATAAGTACTGTAAAAACATAGTATGTCATGTTCTAATAAAATATAAAAGCTGAAAAAAATGTTTTTATTAAAATATATTTGCTCTCTTCTTAGCTATATTAATTTTTAATGCTATTAAAAAATAAGGAATTATCTTATTTCATAATACACTAATAAAATTAATTAAAATATGTTAGATGGCTTATCACAACAAATAATTCAGCGACAGGAATGCGACGTTTATTTCCATGTTGGGACGAACCAGGATTAAAAGCTATATTTAATATTGCTATAAGGCATGATCAACGTTATTACGTTCTTTCAAATACAGATGTAGTCTATATATCTACATCAGAAATATCGTCTATGAGGATGTCATATTTTGCCAAAACTCCTAAAATACCCACGTACCGTATAGCAATTTTGCTATTCGATAAAAATGATTATATTCATATTTCTCCTAGAAAACCTATAGAAAACCTCAAATTAGAGAGAAAGTGGACGAATGCGCAATGGAATAAAATTTTAATTGATATTGTCACAAATATTGTTGAATCTAAATGGCAACAACCAAGAGAATCTTTATTAAAACATCAATATGCGGTCGCAGGTTTGACAGATGATGGCGTAGATAAATTGCATTTTGTACTTTACAGGTAGTATATGCATTTAAAGAAATTAATTAAATCTTTTTAAAATGAAATAATTATATAATAATAGGAAAACGTAAATGTTATATATAGTAGATAATGCTATTCATAGATGGCGTATTGTGAATATTTGTGACATGAATATAATGATATCGTTTGTATGTTGTTTTCAGAAAAAGAGATATTACCTACAACAAAGAGATAGATCCTGTTGCACGCAAAATAGAGTTATCACGTATAATAGGACGTAAAATTGTAGGTCAATTGTTTGGTACTGCTGTTAGTCCATCATGGTGGTCTTACATGTGGTTGAACGAGGGTATTGCTACGTTGTTCGGCGTGTACATAATCAATCAGGTATTTCCTCATGTCTGTGATACTTGGAAAGAAAACTGAACTTAAGTTCTACTTGAAACTATACGAGAAAGAACACTCTTCGAATATTTTCGATGATATTTAAGATAAAATGTAAAGAATTTTGTTGTATTTATGTGAAATAGTTTATAAAATTTTAATAATTTAATTATACTGTTAATG